TATTTAAGTATAAATATGTTATCGATCTCTCGCGTTGTCGTACCACTCAGCTTTATGCTGAGCGTGTAGTCTTTTTGTCTACACATAGGTTGAAACATATGTTATGTGAACCACCTGGAGGATGAAGAGACGATAGGATGGCAGGTTGACATGCATGATTCTCACAAGTATTGCATTTGAGGTTTTGGGCTTGACCCATATCATTGTATTTGTATTATTTAAGTCTTCCTCTATCTTTGACATTTTGTAAGGGATCGATCCAAATTTAATATTTTGTATTTTGAAGTTTTGTTTTATGAACTTTATTTTAATGATTAGGAAAAAATTTTAAAAATATTACTCCTATTTGACCGTAATTCCTATAATTTCGGGTTATACGAATTGGGCTGTTACAAGCCATGGTAAACTCTTGATTTTCTTTAGACTCACCATCTCCCGTGGTTATGCTTCCCTGTCTTCATCCATTTCTATCCAAAAATTAAGGTTGGTTTTTTATGAGTTGAATGATGTCCAGGAGTATAAATATCCCCATAGTACATACGCAACTAGACCCGATAACGGGCCCAGGTATTCAGCACGCCTACAAAAGCCCACCTGTGAAATGGCGAGCTTGGGCTTGACATTTTAGGGTACGACCTGGGCTTGGGCCTTATAAATGACAGCCCAAATATTTTAGGGTTGGGCTTGGGTTTATGCTTAAGGCCACATGGCGGCCCGACTCAAATGAATTGAAATATTTGTTATTAGTATAATTATAATAAAACAATATTAACAACATTACTATTAATAATACTTCATCTGCTCTATAATAATCTTCTCAGTTTGATTGTGGCTCATTTTTAAGGAAGTATAAAAAATGCTTTGACTTGAAAAAAATACCCCTTATTTTTTTTTACTAGTAACATCATCATACCACCTACAACCGATTATCTCTTGACCTAGCCCGTAAGTCTCCAGCAACGATATCAAACTTTGCACATCCATGTTGTCACTTTACCCTCTTTGATAGTTCACCATCATACATCATTTCAGATCTATACCTCACACTAGAAGAAAGTCGAAAACAAAGTCTACAAAGGAATCAGAAGGGGAGGTTGCTGATCTAGACCTTCATCTTCATCATCATCGTCTTAGATTGGTTAACCTTTGCTCGGATTTGTTGGCATGTCGTCCATCGCGCCTACCTTTGCACTCCATAATGGAATACAATACTCCGTATGAAATTAAAAAAGAAAAAGAGTTTTTGTATAAATAAGAGATGAAATCCAAAATTTAAAAAAGATCTACAACAAAAATTAAATCATAATCTAAAAAGAAATGAAATCTAAAACAAAATCTGAAATAAAAAACAAAATCTGAAATCCTTTCATTTTAAAGAAATGAAAAGGAAGGATGAAGAGGGTTGAAGATGGAGAGAGGAGAAATGAGAAGGTAGAGAAAGATGACGAGATAGATGGACTGAAGAGAAATGAGAAGGGAGTTGACGATGAGGAGTGTTGATGATGGAGATGAGAAAAAAGAGGGTCGGTGTCATGGTGGGAGATGGTTAATGGGATAAGGGTATTAGTGTCTTTTTATAGGAGAATAGTGGTTTTTTAGAGTGAGAAGATAGTTTTAGGATGATAAAAATAAGAAGTGAGAAGATCATTTTAGGACAGAGGAGTAATAAAAAGAACAATATTATTTCAAATTATTATAAATATACATGCTTCTATGGGGAAAAAAAAATATATTTAATAAATTGAATACATCATTATTACTCTGTAATGTTTACTATGTATCACACATTGATAATGACATTCTAATAAATTGTTCTTTCATTTACTCATTATATGTATTATATCAAATATCTAATATATTACTAATACATTACTTTATTTCTTTAAAAAATATTTTTTAATTATTTATAAGTTTTTATCGTGAGGACTAGGATAGCCCGAAGCCCTCGAGTATCCATGCGGGACGGGCTCAAGCTTCAATTGTTAGGCCCGCTATACGTGTCGGGCCGGGCTTTAAAAAGTCTTGTATTGTAGCGTCTCGGCCCCGAAACCTGGCCCGACCCGCACTTTGATCAGGTCTATACACAATCCTTTTGTTTTTCTCTCATCCATTTCTTTCCTTGAGTGCATTTTCAGTGGCTTCTCAGAAGCTAGAATTGTACTATCACTACGTCCACTACATGATGTACAAGATGTAGGAGAAGCAAAAGGGGAATTTTTCAAATAAGATTTTGTTGTCACTAGGATTGGAGTCTATTTGGAAAGCTAGAAAGTAACCTTTAGAGTAAACGCATATTTAAGAGGCATATTTTGTGACAGAGACAATGTTTCCTTTTGCAATCCAGCCAAATCAATAGCTTTGGCAATCATTTTAGGTTGAAATGCCTTAACAAATGGCCTGAGTTTAGGCTTCAAACGCCAACAAAACTTTTCACAAAATACTCCATATCCAGATGAGCCTGGTTCCATGGCCACTGGATTCCAATGGCCATGGAAGCCACTGCCCCCATACAGAGCTCCGTTCATAAAATTGATGATTCCTACCCCCTCTAACCCCCCGCCAAGTCCCGACCCAAACTAATCACCCCACTTACGTCAATTGCACCTCGTAGGTGGGGTGATTAGTTTGGGTCAGGACTTGGCGGGAGGGTTTACCAGGGGGGTTGGGGGGGTATGAATCATCAATTTTATGAACGGAGCTCCGTATGGGGGCAGTGGCTTCCGTGGCCACTGGAATCCAGTGGCCATGGAACCGGGCTCTATCCAGATACATGTTCTTTTGTAACATCAAAGCTTTTAGGCTCTCGAATTCATCATTATACTCTTCAAGAGAACCAATTTGCTCAAGCCTCTTAAAAACTTCTACTCTATTGCTACCCTTCTCGTTAGGAAACTTAGCATATAAATCAGTGACAAATTTCTCACACTCCACGTGTTTTCGAGGAAACATATAACCTATCATCCATACCCTAGCTTTATCAAGCATGTGTAAAGACATTAAATCTACTTTTTGATCCTCATGAATTTTACAAAGATCAAAATACTTCAGGCAGTTCTTAATCCACGAACATGCATTCTCACAATCAAAAGTTTGAAATTAGAGTTTAGGAGTGTACCCGAAATGATGCTTACTGTTATCCATGGCTGTCGAATGCACTGAGTGTGGAGTTTAACGTACATGACCTGAGACTTCTTCACAGTCCCTAGGGTTTCGTTGAGGGAATTGAGTCATCAGTTGCATCATCTCCTCTCTCAAGTCCATCATCTGCCATTGATAGGAATCATGTTGCAGCTAGAATTGCGTCTATATTGCTTCTTATAAGCTTTTGATTTGCTCATCCATGCCGGTTGCTTGATCTTTTCTCGCAGGTGCCATTGTCAGTCCACATATCACATTTATTCGGGTTGTGCGGATTGAGGTGTTACATATATGCTCATTGCCCATATCATAAATCTTCTTATGGATAAAGTTCAAAATGGGATCAAGAATAGGGTAGTAATATTCATTGAAGAGTTGAGTAAAGTGTCCCACAACAACTTCTTTGGTCTTGTCATTCTCAGTTTGAATGTGGCCATATTTGTCTTTTATAAAGGTGATTCTAAGCTTTAATCTCCTACCTTTTACATAGTTATAAATGTATCTCTTGTTGCAATCGGACTCATTGAGCTACTTGATTCTAGACATATGTTGCCAGTAGGAAGTTTCATTTCTTTCGGCCTTAAGAAGTTTAGCAATTGTTATGTTAGATTGTTGCTTGTTATCCTCATCAAGATCATCCTCATTGGTGTTGAGTAACAACAAACTCCTCTTCTGCATGATTTACTATGGCAAAGATGTCACCAAAATCTCTCATTGTTTCAAGTTTTAACCTTATCTTTAAGACCCTTAAGTAGTCGTGACAACCCTCTCATGCTTCTAATTTTATGAGCCTTTGTCCAAAAATCATTTACCATGAGAAGAAAGGAGTGGTGTGTAGTCCAAATATTGAGGAACCCGAAAGATTTTAATCTCCCGACAGAGACTTTTTTAGAAGTTCTCGGCAAAGGCTTATGATCAGAAGAGATTTTGCTCAAATGAGTAACCATCACTCCATCCACATTCTCCACCTTATAGTGACCAAGTAAAAGTTCCTCCTTTTAAAGGAGGTTGTCAAGGTTAATATTTGTGATGACACCATGAAATTCAAGCATATATGTATGTAGTAAGTCTAAACTGATCCCAAGTCTAAACCTTCTACCTGATCCCCCTTCCCTGGTAGGGGGTAGGAACTAGCATCTTTACGATCGAGTATTGTAGATGGCCTGAACGAACTGGTGTAGACAATTGATGTATAAGTTAATGATTTCATTTTAGATGCCCTTATACACACACATGTGTGTGTGTGCGTGTATTCTCCCTTCATCCTAAATTAGAATAAAATTTAGAATTAGGAGGCAAAAAATCATATTTTTTAAAATTAGTGTAAGAATAAAAAATAAAAATACAGTTCATCTTAAAAAAATTATGTCAAAAGTTATATAAAACAAATGATGATAAAGAATATTTTATTTTATCAAATAATCAATGAAAATGTACAAATAAACAAAACTTATCGAGAGATGAAAAAAATAGTGTAATCTATATAAAAATAGGAAATTATAGAACAATGTGACTAAAATTCAATTGAAAAGCATAAAAAATATAAAAATCACAATCTTCTAAAAATATTTTATTAAAAAAATTGAAAAAGTGTTTTAGAGCGAATGATAAAGGAACTTTGAAAATTTCCAAAAAAAGACCTAAACAATACGGAGTACTACTCCAGCAATTTCTATAAACAAAAACAAAAAAGGAGAAATATAAATTGGGGAGGTTAAAGAGCACCCGGATGAACGGAACCCCTCACTGTGCGTGTCCTCGACTGCGATAGAGTGTGTACTTGCAACAGATCTAAAGAGAAGAAGAAGAAGCCGAAGCAGAAGGTTCCGTATATATATTTATATAAATAAATAGTATCAGCGCTATATTCATATTCTCTTTATTAGAGCGAGATTAAGGATGAGTAGCAGAAGGGGCGGTAACGGCGGCGGCGGCGGAGTTGCTATGATTCCGACGGGGTCGCGGAAGATGGTGGACAGTTTGAAGGAGATAGTGAAGAACCATCCTGATTCTGAGATCTACGCCGCTCTTAAAGAGTGTAATATGGACCCTAACGAAGCCGTCAGCAGGCTCCTCTCTCAAGGTCTCTCATTCACCAAAAGCCCTAAAAGCGTCTGTCTTTGGGTTTTAATTGCATCGATAATGGCGTTTTTGACCGTTTTGAATTTATATTCATCACAAATTGCGTGCGTTGTTTGATTCATGATCTTCTTCCTTTTTTCCCTCTCTTTTCTATTGAATGAAGTGCTCGTAATTTTCACTTGAATAGAATACATTCAGATAGTGTCAACTGTCAAATTCTCTTGAAATTTTTTAGCATTGTTTTCCTGAAGAAAAAAATCTTTTCTAAGCTCTTTAGCCAAAAAACTACTACTAAAAGCAGTTTTTGTAGGGGTGAAAACATCAAAGCAGTGAGCCAGATAAAAAGTTTGGAACTTTGACCTAATTACACAAGGAATGCATAACATTGTTATTAAAACACATCCAATCTGAAGCTCTTGTAAATATGTGAAGCAGTGCTACTTTATCTGATTTGTAACCTTTTTAGTATTTGTTGACTCTTGTTAGAGTTTTCATAGCAGGACTCAAAAGTGGTATGCTGTTTGTGGATAATCTGGATGGATAAGGACTCAGAGATGATTACAGTTATGATGATATGTGGGTGTGCGTGTGTCAAATTCACATGGTTTTGGAATTTTAGAAAACAAACTTTGTGGGTATTTTTGTAGCTCTCCCTCTTGTCCCTTTTGGACACACCATTGTTCATAACTTCTGCAATTAACTTCGTGGAGCAGATACTAGGACAACAAGTAACCAGAATGGTATTGGTGTTTGGTTAATGTGTGAAGGGGCAAATTGATTTCTGGAATCTGGGTGTTAATTCCAACTTATATGGTCGTATGAATTTTTTTGAATGACAATTTAGTAGAGCTCATGAGTGTCTTATCTCGCAATTGTTTGGAAGCTATTGCTCGTTTTGCCACTTTTCATCATCATTCTATTCTTTTTTGTCCGTTCCATAACCAATCCGTGTCTAGGAAAGAGTTTTTTTGTTGATATATTTTTGCATCTCTTCTAAATTAATCTCAACCACACATTTCCTTTTTATAAACGATTTGTGCAAAGTTGAATGAGGTGATAAAGTAGGGATTAGGAGATTAATATGAATTCAAAACATTTATAATGGTTAAATATATTTATAGCGACATCCCTCAGAGGTAAGGTAGAGCGAGAAAGCGTTGGGATGAAGTGATTAGACATGGCATGTTGTTTCTACATGTCACTACATGACCCTACATAAGGCAGCTTGGAGGTTGATGATTAGAGTTTTAGGATAAGTTGACTCTGGTATAGGAAGGAGTTAGGTTAGAGGGGTGCCTCTGTAGAGGTTTGTTTATTCGTGTGATGTTACTCATCCTTTCTTTGTTTTGTAGTTTATTTAACTCTTACCATTTGTATTTTATATTTGATTGTCTAACTCAAATTTGTGTTTTCTTGAGCCAATGGTCTTTCCAAAATGACATCTCTTTTTTAGGTAGTGGCAAAGCCTGCGCACATCCACCCTCCTCCAATATCACAGGGTTGCTGTTGTTGTACTAAGAGATTGCTTCTTGCATGTTTATATCTTAGGATTATATACTTAAATATTATTTTTGAAGTGTATATATCATTACAGATGTGCTATTTGACAATGTTGTTCTGCTGTGATTCGATATTACTCTTCTTTAGTACTAGTAGTTTTGCATCATCATGAATAGGTTGCCCTATATGACTATATGTCTTGGAAACATTTTTTATCCTTTCTAATTCAAAATGTCTGAATATTTAGATCCTTTTCATGAGGTGAAAAGCAAGCGAGATAAAAGAAAAGAGGTGCGTGTTTGTATTGAAAGCATAAATAATCAGATACATTATTTGTTTAACTGGTTCTGAGTTCTCTTTGTCTTCTTTACAGAATAAAGATGCTCCCGAATCTAGATCACATGGTGCTAGTAGTTATGGCCGTGGTAGCAAGGGAAGTGCAGATCGTTATGCTGGGCGTGGTGGTTCAGGTACCTATATCGGTTGTTTACTTAAAAAATCTTATTCCTTTGATTTACGTTGTGTCCTTCTCAGCTCCTCTTCATACTACAAAGCATTTGTATTTGAAATCTCATCCTTTATTTAGACTTGGCTTTACACGGCAAATCAACCTCTGCATACAAGGAGAATGGATTTAGTACAACGAAATCAACAAGAATAACAGGGAGTGTTACAACTAGGCGGCTGCCTACCATCAAGTAAGTTTTACTCGATTGTGAAACATATATTCTTATAGTAATGCTTTTTTCCCCTTTTTTGTTTCAAGGATTGTTATTTGTAGTGTCTTTTTTGATAGTGTATGATACTACGAATTAAATATATATATCACTGAGCTGTGCATTGGGTATTTCCGTATTTGGGCGTTTGCACAAGTAGTCGACCTACCTCAATTTAAACTAGAGCAATGATTTTCTACTAATCAGGAGGATGTTTGATAGAAATTTGAATTGATTTTCTCTTATCATATCTGTTAATGCATTATGCATGGATATTTTATATTTGAAGCGTGGTTCTTACCTTCATCATACCACCCAATATGCTTAGTTTGCTCACAAGTGTATTGTAAAAGTAGGCCAAACTTTACACACTGTTTTGTTGTTCTATGTTCAGTTACATATGTGTACATATGTTTAAACAGAAAGGATTATTAGATTGACCCACTATCAGTTTCTGCTCTGCAATATTAGGTTGCTACTTGGTCTTACATTACTACCTCTGCCTGCTCTGTTGTCCCTCAAAAACTCTCTTTGTGAGAGAATACACAAGGATTTAGTAATTTTGGGATCTGTATCTAATATTCCATTGAGCTTAAATTTAATTGAAGAGCTCCAACTTGCCTGTACAACTGTGAAACTCTTATCCATCTGTCTTTGATTTCTATCAACATGTCAATTGTGGGAATTAATCTGTAGAACAATTCAATTGATCATACCTGATTATTTCATATGGGCCATCCAAAACTACTAGTGTCCAAACATTAATATAAGTGTTCAGATTTGATTTGCTGATATGTATACTATAATGCCCTCTATTGGCAGCTGGGAATGGTATTTGCTTCCTCAGATTATGTTCTTAAGCACATACAGTTATTTTCAGTTTTCATCCTATATGCATGCATATTGGACATCCTTTTAGGGTATTTTTTCAAATCCTTTTAGAGTATTCCTTTAAGTCTTTTGTAGCTAATGCTCTTTTTTAAATCACTTCTATGTCTGGTTTTTTAGTGATGCCGTTGACACTGAAAAGAAGAAGTTAGCTGATGATGTTTCACCAACTCCACAATATTCATCTGGGCACCAGCCTGCTTGGGTAGGTGTTCCAGGGAAAATGTCAATGGCTGATATTGTGAAGAAGGGTAAGCCACACAGTAAAGCAACAGATGGTTCAAGTAATGAATCTTGGCCACAGGCCAATGTTGCTAGTCACAGCTTTTCCCAGAGGTCTTCTGGTGGTCCTCTAGATGAGAATTGGCATCTTTCTCAAGATGACCAGACTTCTCCTGCTCAACAGCATGATGACTGGCCTTTAATTGAGCAACCATCAGCTGCTGCTAGAAATTATTCTGTCCCGGATCCTCCTACGTCCCAGCTGCATCCAAATTCATCTACTATGGAGTTCAATAGAACTAGCGAACATCAACCCCAGTTCGACGAGGTTCCAGAAGCACAATTTAATGACACAGATAATGTAAATTCTGCTGGTGACGGTCCCATGGTGTCCAACTCTCTTCATGACAGAAAATTTGTGGATGATAATTCTGGAGGTGCAGACAACGATCTTGATAGATACCAGCCTTCTCTTAATCATGCTTTTGATGGTACTGAAGGTGAGTTGTTTGCTGAATTTCTTTAGGCTCCATTTCGAGCCCTGAAAATACTAGGGAAAGAAAATCAGTGTCACAATCAGCACCTTAGTTCCGACCAGTTGGGATTGGTGGACTAGAGGAAGAAAATATGGAGGAAAGTGGAATGAAAATTTTTTTGGAGAATAAAGGATGAACTAAAAGTAAAAAAGTCAATAAACTTGTTTTTTATATTTTCTCAAACTAATTACCTATTTTTTCCTATTGTATTAAGTCCAAGAAATCTAAATATATGGGAAAATTTAAAAAAAATTATTCATATTTCATTTTCTGTTTCATTTTCCAAGGTAAACCCAAAGACAATAAAATGACTTCCCTTTGTTTTTTACGCATTGTTTGTGATCAAAGCCTTAATCTTGTGTGAAAATGAGAAGTCGTTTTCAAACAGTTACATGTTTCAAATATTTGTATTTCAAACATTGTATTAGACAAAAAACTATTTATTTCCACCTTGTAGAAAGCATTTTCTCTAAGAAGTTTTTGTGGAATCAAATGGAGTCTTAGATACTGGTTGCCTTATTCATTTTGGCTAATGATGAAAACATTTTCCTTAACAAAATATTTTTGCGGAAACAAAAGGAGCCTTAGATACTGGATACTGATCATGGCTAATGAAGTGATTAACTAATATCTTTGGTTACTAATTGACAGCATACAACTATTTATTTCATGAAAGCCTGCATGCTAACTACTCAACTTCTGTTTCATCTTCTGAAATATCTCAAAGGAATCACTTCATTACCTTCATCCTATTTTTATTGCAGTTGATGATGCTGATGCTTCAGTTTCATTAGTTGCTGCCAACATGCAACAAATTAGTATACAGGAGGAGGAGCAAGTTGCATCACCTGAAAGGGATGGACCTTCTGTAGTGATTCCTGAGCACCTGCAAGTTCAAGCTGCAGACTGTTTGAACCTCAGTTTTGGTAGCTTTGGAACTGGAATTAGTGCTACACCCTCTGGGGATTTGGCATCTGCTCCCGTAGAGACACACGTGGAAGATACATCTGTAGATGCAGATGCTCCACCTGATGGGCATTTGACCAATGTGTATATTCCTAACTCTCTTACTTTTACTCCGATTCATGGCATTTCAAGTGGGTTCTCCATGCATTTAGAGGCCGTTTTGACCTGTAAAATTGTAAGGAAATATTAATAGGAAGGAGAATATAAAGCAAAATTGCAAGTAAAAAATGTGGGGAAATTAAATATAGGCTAGAACTCAAAAAATTTATTTTAGATTTTTGTTGATACTCATTATTTATATTTTTCTCTATTATATAAATGCTAAGAAATCTTGATACTTACACAGAGAGAGAGAGAGAGAGAACTAAAAGAATCATTATTCAGTTTCCTTTAATTTACAAGCAGAATTCAAACATAAGAAAATGCATGTCAATTTTTTCTCTTTTCCTAGTATTTTCTGTGATCCAAACATACCCGTAGTTTTGAAATGAACACAAGGCATCTAATATTTTTTTGAATAAAATTTCTTGCAGAAGTTCTGAATACTATGGTGATGAGGATCTGAGGAATGCAACTGGTGATATTTTATTCCATAGGACAGAAGCTGTTTCTGAGAATTATGAGCAGCCAACTGATTCACAGCCAGACTCACTGAAAGTGGAATATCCTGAAGCAGCAGCAGCACAGTCCAACCAATATAGCTTTCCCTCTTCTAAACCTGCAGACTATACTTATGAGAATTCTCAATCGCCTAATGTGGCATTTAGTCAATCTCAAACAAGCTCACACACAAAGAATAACGCTTCGTTTACAAATTCCATGGTGAGCATTAGTTATAGAGTTTTATTTGGCTTAAATATGTTATTTCATCCTTAATATAGTTTTTTTATGTATTAGGTTTTTCGTTAAATCACTACTTCTCTGTAATTTATGCTTTTGTTTCTTTTTAGTTCCCTCCGTCTTATTACAGGGATGAATAACACAAGTTATTATTTTACAGGGAAGTAAAACAAATTGCAATTATTGAAGGGGGTAAAACATTTTAATTCTTTTTATTTTTGTTTTTTAGCATGAGGGGGAAAATTTGTAATGCAAGCAAGTGTGCTTAAACACATACGAGCCACTTTTTAGCCTTTATTTTTTTATGAAATTGACCTTTTCATGAAATGGATGTGTGGTCAAAGGTTGCATAAGGTTTGGAATGAAGGTATTCGGGGGAAGGGGAGAGTGCCTCTGTGGGGTTAAGTTGTGTGAAGCTAGACTCAGATGATTTGGGCACGTACTAATGAGAAGTTTGGATTCTCCAATGAGGTGTGAAAGGCTCGTGGTAGGGGAATTAAGGAGGGGTAGATAGACCTAAGAAGACTTGAAAAGAGGTGATTAGACATTAGTTTGAGGAGCTAACAGAGGTTATGACCTTAGATAGTCTGGAGGTCTAGGATTAGTGTGGTAGGGTAGGCCTTTGAGTAGTACTCTACCTTTGTGTAGGACTAAATGCCTTAGTTTGATTGTATATATGTCTACTAGCTTCTTTTGTGCTCCTCTAGTCTGTTATCCACTTTTTCCTTTACCTGTTTTTCTGCGTTTCTTTTGTTTGAAGCTGCGTTCCCTTGGAAGCAGCCTCTCTACATTCCACGTAGGGGTATGGTTTGTGTACACTTACCCTCCTATGACCCCACAAAGTGGGACTTTATTGGATTTGTTCTTGTCATGAAATCAAGTTGTGTGTTAGGCTGTTAGCTGAGAATTATTTCACCTTGTGTTTTTTCTGTGTGTATCTGATGCAGGGCTACTCTAGTTCCTTACCTAGCAATTTGTTGACGGCAAATGTTCATGCTGGTAGAGAGTCTGAACATCCTTATTCACCATTTTCTTCACAAGCAATGCCTCCAAAGTATAACAATTCAGTTTCTATTTCTGGGGGTTCTTCAATTTCCATGCCAGAGGTATAGTTTCATACTTTTCCCTTAGATTTTGTTCTCTATTATTGCTTCTTTTGCCATGGTGAGTTGTTGATCTAGTCCACCTGCTAAGCCTTAATATCTAAATATTTCAGTGGGAATCCGTACATATGTTCGTTGACTTCATTCCCTTCACGCGGTTGTGTTGGCTATTTTGAATTTGTTTAGATTTTTCCCACTGTTGATTGAATAATTAGATTGAGTGTGATTGATCGATCTTATCTTGGGTCCTTGTGTTTTTTCATCTTCTAGCAAGTAGTGATTTGTCTTCGAACATATATGTTTCCACCAGTCCATGTTCTATTATCTTCAGTCTTCTGATGGTCTCCAGTCTTTTCCCCCTTGGCTTTCTGACTTGAGATCAACCCTCTCTACTCCGTCAGCTTTCTGTTGAGCCTTTTGTTCCTTACTCTTCCTTGTTCTTGATCATTCTGACCTTCACTATTCTGTTGGACTTCTGTTTTTATTTAGTATACTGAATCTCTGAGCTTGCTGTTTTCATAAATCAACGGGAATTATTTTGAAATGATTCGTGACCCCACTGTTGTATTTTACTGGTTTTGTTGTTCTTGGGATGTGTTATAAGTTATAACCAGCCGTGTTTTATGCTGCAGCAGGCTTTGAAGGCTATTGGTTTATCATCAACCCATCTTACACAGCAGAGTCTTAATGGGAGTAACATTGCTACAGGACCCGCTATACATCAACACCTTGCCTTGCATCCATATTCGCAACAAACACTTCCCGTTGGGCCTTTTACCAACATAATTAGTTACCCTTACATGCCACAGAGTTATACATATATGCCTCCTGGTTTCCAACAACCACCCTTTGCTGCCGGTAATAGTTCTTACCAACAATCGCTGGCAGCATTGCTCCCACAGTACAAGAATAGTGTGTCGGTTAGTAGCTTGCCTCCCCCTGCTGCTGGTGTTGCTTCTGGATATGGTGGTGCCTTTGGGAATAGTAGTGGCACGATTCATGGAAGCTTCCCATTGCATCCTTCTGCGGCTCCTAGCACATCTTTGGGTATTGATGATGGGCTAAGTTCCCGGTACAAGGACATAAATCACTTAATGTCCCTTCAACAAGTAAGCTCTGCATGTTAACTTTTGAGATTTTCTTGGTTTTATTACATCAGATCAATACTGTTCATTTGGTGGCTTGATTTGTCTATTTTTCTGCTTTACTCACAAGGTTTTCTACCAAATTAGTTAAATGAATATGTTGGCTGGATGAACTCATAATGAGAAAAAAAAAGTGCATAAGCTATTTTTAGATGCTCGTGTTTTGTGCCCATTTGCTGACATGTTGTATTAAACTATGAAATATTTTAAAAAATAATTTCAGTTAATTCACCTATTTCAGCTATGTGTTTAACAAATTCTGTCTTTCAAGAGCCCTTCAGGCAAAGTCCTAAAATGGTTGAAAGTGGCTCAACTGCTTGAATTTGTGGAATATGTTATGTTATCAAATTTGTTTTTATAAAATAAATTTTTAAATAGATAAATATAATGCTACTCTGTACTTAAAAGCAAAAGCCAAAGTATCCAGCCATTTCAACTAAAAAGAGCAACCTTTGCACTACTTTTTTTCACTATAGGCCAAATAAAATGTCTACCAAAGGGGCACTCGTTTTTTCTATCTACGGAGTACTTTTTAAACTGTGCCTATCAGACACTCTGTTTCCTCTATCATCTGAGACTTGTACTCTGCAATTTTTTCCGATGCAGGGTGATAATTCAGGAATGTGGGTCCACGGACACAGTTCCCGAACAATGTCTGCGCCTCCCACCAATCCATACTACAACATTCAAGGGCACAATCAACCACCCGGAGGTGGGTTCCGGCAAGTTCCCCAGCAGTCATCTCAGAACCACGCATCTTTGGGATACCCAAACTTCTATCATTCTCAAGCTGGGATCTCGCTGGATCACCACCACCACCCGCAGCAGCACCTGAGAGATGGTTCTCTGGCAGGTGCTCAAGTCCAGCAGCCAAAGCCATCTTCCCAACAGCTGTGGCAAAACGGCTACTAATCGCTTACTTCCCCCCTCCAGCACCTCTCAGTTTTTTCAGGGTCTTGTAATCATAATGAAAGCTGCCGTTGGAGCTTGTTTAGCCGCGCCAATAATTTATGTTCTCGGCACGCGAAGGCTCCATTGGCTGCTTGCCCTGTGCTTAGAGGTTGTGTATTTTTACTTATTTTCATATATCATCAGTTATTGTTGCTATAGTACAGAGATAAAGTTGGTGTTGGGGGGAATATTTGTGCTTGAATTTTGAACACTTTTTTTCAGTAACAGTAATGTTATGCATACTCCTTAACCATTTAGCTATAAACTTTGATTTTTCCACAAAAAAAAATTATTCTCTAACCTAATTCTAAGTTCTCATTGTTTACAATGTTTGACTAAGAGCCTGTTTGGGAATAGCGTTTGCGTTTTGAAAATGCTATGTACGGACATCATTTAGCGTTAGCGTTTTCAAAGTAATCTGCACCGTTAAAATTTATCCAAAACGTTAACGCTAATCTCTAAAGCTATTCCCAAACAGGCCCTAATTCTCAACTCAATTTGTTTAAAAATCTGTTTAAAATTAAAAACAAAATGTACTTTGTATGTTTTACTACTCCATTTAAATAGTGTATGTTTGTTTGATACATTAGCTTTTTTAGAATGCGTCAAATTCCAATCTTGTTAGGAGTGGTTCCGGTGGGTTTGGTTCAACACTCATTACTCATTTCAATTTTTTTATAATGAAAATATAACTTATGAAATAAAAATTTCAAAATATTCAAGTGCACAAGTAAAAAATAAAAATGGCTTTCGTAATTTATTAATCATACTAATTATTAATTATAAAAAGTATTAATTAAAAAAATTAGGGAGAAATACTAAAATAGGAGTAAAATGTGGGACAATCAAAGTAGGATACTCATGTTTTTCTTCACCTAAGACCTGACCAGAAGTTTAAACCCAAAAGTTTTGATGATCGAAGCCAAACCTGACTTGATCGACCTGCTAGTATATGGTTTTTTAATTGTGTATTTTAATATGAAATATAACTTGATAAAAATAAGGCTATAATAGTTTTTTTCTTATTCCGTACTTTTTTCCTTATTACACCTTAGTGTATAAATTTATTTTTTCAAACGAATCCAAACTTATCCGATCCTGACGATACTCAAACTTGAAGAGGTCGAATCCGTGAAACATATGTATGCAAATTTGAAAATTATACAATGTTCATTACAATTACACAAAATGTACATTTACGATCATAATAATTACTCCCTTCGTCTCTTAGTATTTGTTCACTTTTGACTTTTTTCAGTCAAATTGGTAAACGTTGATATCAAATTAAATAAAAATGATATTAGATAGCGATACAAAACAATCTATTAGATTTAATATATAAAATATTTTTAAAATATTATTTTATTTTATTAATATATAATAGGGAGTATATATTTATTTAATTATGAGTCAAAGGTTGAAAATAAATTAAAATTGGACAAATACTCCCTCCGTCCCACTCTTTTTGTCCACTTTCATTTTTGCACACCATCCAATGCACTTCTTTAATCCATTTTATCTTGTAATTTGTGTATTAAAAAATTATAAAAATTATATATTAATAATCTAGATGTTAAGACAAATCAAACAAGATCACACATGACTATTTTTAGACTTACACATTGAGAGAATTTGATGAGTCAAATTGCTTAGATGAACAGTTCTAAAAGTCAAAACTGGACAAAAAGAGTGGGACGGGGGTAGTACTTAGGAATGGAGGTAGTAAGAAGAACTCATTATTAAGTTCATGATCTTCAATTTAATATTGAAAGAATTAAAGTGTAAAAACTTACCCAATTAAATGATCAAGAAAAAAAAGGAGAAAGGATGATTCGTTTCTCTCTCTAGAATGGCAAGAAAGCGAGGAAATCCAAGATCTAATACGAAGCGAGGAAGAGGACGACCTAGAGCTACAGCTGCAACAACAATGGAGATTAATCGAAGGGTTAGTACACCGGAGAACAAGAATTCCCCATTAATGGAGAATCAGACGGGAAACCCTAGCCCAAAAACTCCAGAACAGGAGAAACACCTGATGGCGGGGAGTCCGGAAGATGAGGACATCGTGGAGAAAACAGAAGCGTATAAGAGGGAGACAGGTATCAATAATGAAAAGAGAGAAAAGCTCAGCTATGCCGATGTAGTAGGAGGTACATCAAAGGTACAGTATGATCTATCATATATACAAACTGAAGAAATCAATGGACAAAAACTGGCAAAATTCACTAAGGATGATGTATTAGAAGACATGGGAAGCTGGGATAAAGCTATAATCTGCTGTGTTCTGGGGCAAACCCACCTCTAGAAGTGATTAAGGGATACATAGCTAGAATCTGGAAGGCATATGATATAGAGGATATCTCATTTCACAAAGAGGGGCAATATATTGTGTTATTCAAAAAAGCTGAAGAGCGAGATGAGGTTGCTAAACATAAGTTTTACTTCTTTGATAATAAACCAATGTATGTGAAAAGATGGGGACCTGACTGTAAGATTGATATGAATGAGCTGAAGGATGTTCCTATCTGGATACAACTTCCAAATTTGAATATGAAGTATTGGAGCCTATCAGGTCTTAGTAAACTGGGGAGTATTATAGGCAAACCTGTCAGGAGGGACAGAGCTACAGCAAACAAAGTGAAATGGGGTTATGCTAGAATATTAGTTGAGGTACAGGTCCAGCAAGAGTTTCCAGAATGATACACTTCATGGATGAAGAGGACAGAGTGATTACACAACAAATAGTATATGAATGGAAGCCAACTGTGTGTTCTAAGTGCAGTAAGCTGGGACACACTACTGAAGTGTGCAGGAGAGCTGAGGGAAAGCAAGATAGAGGTCAGTTTAAAAGAGTGTGGAGACCAAAACAACAAGAACCAAGGGAAGAAGGTCCAAGAACAGAAGAAGACATACCAAGGCAGAACGAGGAAGTAAGTACCCCCATAAATGAGCAGGAGGAAAAATCAGTTAGGAACGAAGTAAAAGACGATGAGGTACCAGATGGATTCCAGTTGGTTCCTAAGAAGAAGAGTGCCAGGAAGATAACAATAGATCAGTTACTACATAGTGGAGGGGATCTATTGAGGAATGCCCCATATACAGGTCACTACCCATTCTTATCATGATGATGTGTTGGAACATTAGGGGTCTAAACAGACCCAGTAAACAGTGGGAAATAAGAAATATGATGAATAAGTATAATGTTAATGTGATGAGTATTCTGGAAACCAAAATAAAGAAGAATAAAGAGGAGGAGATTCTGAATAAGATGTATAGTAACTGGGATGGTTTACTAATAGTGACAATCACCCTTTGGGAAAAATATGGGTTTTGTGGAATAAAAATAAAGTTAAAGTCCAAGTAATGGAAAGTGAGGCTCAGTTTGTTCACTGTAGAATAAGGAAGATGGAGAATAATGAATTCTACTGGACTACTTTCATTTATGCATACAATGATAGGGGCAACAGGAAATCTCTATGGAGTCAGATTAGAGAATATGCAGATTCCATCAAAGAACCATGGTGCTGCATAGGGGACTTTAATTCCATCTTGAATGTGGAAGACAGGAAAGGGTGAATACCAGTCACAGAAGAGGAACTGAGGGACTTCAGGGAGTGTGTTATGGAGAGTGGATTGGAGGAAATACCCTCCACAGGCCCTTATTATACCTGGACAAACAATCAGCAAGAAGAGAATATGATATTCTCTAAATTGGATAGAGCGTTGTGTAATGTGGAATGGAGTTTGAAGATGGATACAAAAGTGAAGGTCCTAAGTGGAGGAGTGTCTGATCACTCTCCATTGCTTATCACAAATGCAAACTCTCAAAGACAAGGACACTGCTTCAGATACTGTAATATGTGGAGTAGTGACTCTATGTTTCACGCCATTCTTACCCAAAATTGGAAAACAGATCACTCACAAAGAAATATGTATCAGCTGGTTAAGAACTTAAGAGCACTAAAAGAGCCATTCAGGAAACTCCATTCCAGATTTAAAATGATACATGAACAGGTGGATGCAGCCAGGGATGAACTTTGGGAGTTTCAGAAGAAAATCCAAAAGGGGGATAATCAAGTAGGGGTAGAAGATAAGGAAAAGGAGCTGAAAGACAAACTGTACAAGGCCATTAAAGCTTCTTACCAAATGAAATGCCAACAAAGTAAGCAAGAATGGATTACTGAAGGGGATAAAAACTCTAAAATGTTTTATGCATGGATTAGGAAAAGAAGAGCTCAGAATCAAATACTGGAAATAAAGACAGAAGATGGGGAGACAGTTGAAGGTTCTGCAGATATAGCAAAGGTGTTTGAGAAATACTATACAAAATTGCTGGGAACTAAAGGGACAACTGAAATGGTTAACCCTAAGATACTACAGGAAGGAAAAGTGTTGGGGGCTAAACTACAAATGGGGCTGATCAAAGGATTTAAAAACCAGCAGGTAAAGGAAGCAATGTTCTCAATCCCAAATGATAAAAGTCCAGGCCCAGATGGTTACAATAGTGGGTTCTTCAAAAGCCAATGGAAAGTGGTGGGGGAGCTGGTTTCAAATGTTGTTCTGGACTTCTTCAAAGAAGGAAAAACCCTACAGCAAATAAACGCTACAAGCTTAACACTGATTCCAAAGATCCCTGAGGCAATAAATCCTCATGAGTATAGACCTATAGCATGCTGTAATACCATATACAAGGTCATCTCAAAATTAATATCCCAGAGACTGAAGGAGGTTCTGCCCCACATTATAGATTTGAACCAAGGAGCTTTTGTTAAAGGCAGAGAACTGGTCTACAATGTGTTAATTTGCCAGGAGATAGCTAAAGGTTATAAGAGGAAAGGAATTTCCCCAAGGTGTATGATGAAGCTTGACATCCAAAAAGCCTACGACTCAGTCAGTTGGGAAGCAATAAGAAGCATATTGTACAACCTTAAGTTCCCAGAACAATTCATAAGTTGGGTAATGTTCTGTGTCTCCACCCCAAGCTATACACTAAACGTAAATGGAAGCCAGTATGCATACTTTAAAGGAGCTAGGGGATTAAGACAAGGGGACCCTATGTCTCCATTACTGTTTGTGCTAGTTATGGAATATCTTACTAGATCCTTCCAAGCTGCAGTTAATAAGGGTAGGTTTGGGTTCCATCCCATGTGTGCTAGCGTGAAGATAGTGAATCTATGCTTCGCAGATGATCTAATTGTAGTGTGTAAGGCTGAGACCAAGGCTGTGAATTGCATTATGAAGGTCCTCGAAGAGTTTAAACTAGCTACTGGTTTGAGTATTAACTATAATAAATCACACATAGTCTTTGGGGGTATCAATGAGCAGATTAAGGAAGAATTACTGAAGATTACTAAAATGAAAATGGGAACACTGTCATTCACATATCTGGGCAGTCCCATTACGGCGGCCAGGCTATCAGCAAGTGATTGTGAAGCATTGGTACACAAAATTACAACAAAAATAGGAGCTTGGGGTTCAAGGCATTTCTCATATGCAGCTAGAATCAGAATTATAAACTCAGTGTTGATGGGGATCATTACGTTCTAGTCAAGGATCTTCATTATCCCAAAAGGAGTGATAAAGAAGGTGACATCAATTTGCAGGAATTTTCTTTGGGGCAGCTCCAGTGACTATAAAAGAACTCCTTTGGTGAAATGGGAAGAGGTATGTCAGAGAAGAAATTATGGAGGGCTGGGACTGAAAAACATATTCAACTGGAACAGGGCCATAGTCATGAAGCTAAATTGGGACATTGCAAATAAAAAGGATGTACTATGGGTTAAATGGATCCATAATAGGTACATTAGAGGGGCTGATTTCTGGAATTATCTACCTAGAAAGGATTCATGCCAATATTGGAAAGCTATGATCAAAGTTAGAGAGGTTTTTAGACCAATGCCAACAAGCAAAGACTACAAAGTGAAGGAGGGGTATAACTGGCTCCAGGCTGAAGGAGCTAAACCACAATGGACAAAATGGGTGTGGAATAAATTCACACCACCCAAATTTCAGGTAGTGTTATGGCTGTACATGCGTGGAAAACTGCAGACTAAAGATCGATTGGGGAGATTCCTACCTGTGGATATGAGATGTGGATTGTGTGAAGAGGAGAATGAAACGGCCAAGCACCTATTCTGGGACTGTAAATATGCAAAGTGGGTGATGAAGCAAGTGTTTGATAGATATAACATCTTGGTCCAAGCTAATAGCGTAGAGGAGATGGAAGATACAATGATGAAAGGAAAGGGAAATGCCACAAAGTTGAAGATTGCAGCTATATGGGCAGCCTGTCTTTATAGTATTTGGAGAGCTAGAAACAAAATAGCTCACCAAAACAGGTGTACGGCAGAAGAGGCTAGAGACTATGTTATTAGCTATATAAATTTTTATTTTATGTATAAAAAAGGTAGATGATTGTGGTTAGAAGTCTTGATGAGTGTGTACAAAACTTTGGAGTTAGTAATGAATTGAGTGTTTTTGGTTCAAAAAAAAAGATCAAGAAAAAAATGTAAAAGTATACTTTAATTTTAGATAAAAAAGAATTAATTATTGTCAGTATTTGATATGATATGTTATAAATTTAGATATATAATATTATTGTGTATTAATTATATATACTTTTTTGAGTAAATTCTATAAAAAGTCCCCAGTTATAGGTCGTTTTACATATTTAGTCCTTACATATCAAATATTACTAATTTAGTCCCCAATTATTATATCATTTTTCACGAATGGTCCTTTGTTAACGTTTTTGTTAAGAATATGGATAAAATTGTATATTTATACTTCTCTCTCCTCAATTAAGCTTCCCCCTCCTCTCATACTCTTTCCCAAACTCGTTGTTGAATTTGAAGCTCTAGATCCAAAACGGAAATGATCATTCCTTTTTCAATTATTAATCTTCGTGGTGGAACCTAAAATCAAAACCAATAAACTTTATGGATGAGTTTTATCGGTTAGTCTCAAGAAATTACAAATAAAATACTACGGTATACATTAAAATTTATCCATGAAGGTTACTGATTTCGAATTTGAGTTTCACCAGTTAGACAAACAATTGAGAGAAGAGTGATGATTTTGGCTTTAGGTTCAAAACTTCAAACTCAACGACGGATTTGGGATATGAGTGCGAGGGGAGGGAGGAAGCTTAATTAAGCAGAGAAAGGTGTGTAAATTTACAATTTTATCCACGTTATTAACGAAAATGTTAACAAAAGACCATTCGTGGAAATGAATGTAATAATTAGAGACTAAATTATTAATATTTGATATGTAGGGACTAAATATGTAAAAGGGCCTAATTTTTAATTCATCTTATGAGAAAACTAGAGAGTTAGGAAAGCTACAGAGTTAGGAAAGCTTCCATTGAAGAATCTAATTCATCGAATCCCAATTTTATACGGACTGAAGAGCATGCTTTCTCTCAAGTCAATTGCTGCGCGGCAAGGAAAGCTCTCACTGTTCTACAATACTTCAGCTCTACGCTTTCATTTTGAATCCAGTGAAATGGATTCTATAAAGCGATGAAGAAATTCCAGTTTTTTCTCTCTGATTATACCGCATGTTTAGACTTTATAGTACTAGTTCATCCGGCTTCTTTCTTCCACCGGAGATTTCCAGGCTCCGCGTGATTCCCTCTCCATCCGGTGAAATCATTTCAGCGGTTTTGATTGAGGTATGATTTCCGGAATATTTGAATTGAGCTTGTGCTGATTTTGTATTACAGGGATTGGTAGCATGAGTGAAGACCTCTCATCAGAGCCTGGTAAGGCAAGGAAGCCTCAGAGCCATAGGGGGCCAAGCTACAGTGATCCTTTACAGAGTGAGCTCTGGACTGATGGGCTCATTTGTGCTTTTGAATTTGTTCAAGGACGAAGTAGAACAGGTAGGGCAAGATCTTATTCCAAACCTCCATCACACACTGGGGATGATAATAAATTTTCCAAAACACAAACCCCCACTCGTGTAAGACGCGAGTCTACCACTCCATTTGAGTTGGGAAGTCAGGAGAATGCCCCAGAGGATGATTTGGATAGACCCGCCGGAAGCTTTTGGGTTCCTATTGGTTGGGTTAGGATTTCAGAGCTTGTCCAGATGGTACAGGTGGATGCTAGATGGTCTGGCCAGCAGTTTGATTTTAGCGGTGATGAAAATGACCTAACTGTTGCAGACGTAGCTATTCCGTATTGGGAACGACCGGCGGGACCCGTGTGGTGGTGTCACGTTGCTGCAGCTCATCCTTTTGTCGAGTCGTGGCTTAGAAATGCTGAATGGCTGCACCCGGCAATTAGCATTGCTTTAAGGGACGAGAGTCGGCTGATTAGTGACAGGATGAAACACCTGCTTTACGAGGTAGAATGTTTTCTAGTTTAGCTTTGATGAAGTGTTCATTAGTATCCATTTTAATGAAATATCAGAACTCTATCAGATGGAGGATGTAAAATAGGAAAACCATTTTTATTGAGTTGTAGCCTTGTCGGTGGTTGTATTTCAGTATTTTGATTATTGATATGCTTCCAATTTATTCAGGTTCCGGTCAGGGTGGCTGGAGGATTATTGTTTGAGCTGTTGGGGCAATCTGCTGGCGATCCATATAAGGATGAAGATGACATTCCAATTGTTCTTCGTTCTTTTCAAGTCCAGAACTTTCTAATCACTTCTTTGCATATGAAAGGACCAGCCAAAAACATGAATGTTTTGGGAATTACAGAAGTTCAGGTTTTTTTCTTCAAGTTCTCTCTGTTTCCATGGCCATTATCTTTTGATGCACTTTTAGTGAAATAATGACTGGATCTTATAGGAGTAGTTTGAATGTACAACAACAATAATAACAACAACCCAATATAATCACAACTTCATTGTGGTGTGGGGGTCAAGATGCAAGCAGAAGCAGTCTTACCCCTATAAAATATAGAGAGATGATTTCCGTTAGACTCGCGATGCTTTGTTGCATTTACTACCCAAAAATTCATTGACTATGTTTGGTTCAAGGAATTTGGTTTTCCCTCCTCTTAGTACATTTTGTCTTCTTATATTCTTTTCCTTCCGCTTTTCCTCTCTAACCAAACAAGAAAAATGTTTTCCTCTCTAACCAGCCAAGAAAAATGTTTTCCTTCTCATTTTCTTTTCCTTTCCCCTCGAACCAAACATAGTGCGAAAGTAAGAAGCAATGAAAGTATAATATGCCATCTTGGTTTAGTCCATTACCCAAAGCTAAAACATTGTTAATTGCAACTATTTTAGCTCCATTTGCAATGGACATAAGTTTAAACATGCAGACCTGCAAATATTTTGCTCCGCTTTTTTCACTAGTGTCTTCTATTATGAAGTTGCATTTATTCTACTATTTCAGTTTGTTGTCTGTATTTCATTCATTCCAGGAACTTCTTTTTGCTGGTGGTTATAATACCCCAAGGACCATACACGAGATAGTAGCACACTTAGCTTGCCGCTTAGCACGTTGGGATGACAGGTAATGACCAATTGACCATACTTTCATAAATCATTATGTTACAGTTGAATTATGTAGTGCTGTTCTCAATTGGGAATTTTTCTATGTTTAAGATTTTCTCATTGATTAGTACAGTGGCAATTGATATCAACCTTCCTTATGTTCTTTGTTATGCAGATTATTTCGTAAATCAATATTTGGTGCTGCTGATGAAATAGAGTTGAAGTTTGTTGTAAGGTATTTCAAATTGCATTTCAGTTGTTATCATTCAAAAGATGATTGACCCTTTTCTATGTCAGGATTTTGTTAGATCTCTTTTTCTAAAAAAAGATCTTTTATGCGTAGGAGGAACCAAGAAGATCTAAATCTATTTGGTATAATCCTTAACCAGGAAATCAGGAGATTATCAAGACAGGTTTACAGTTTACATCATAACTTGTCCCAGCCCCCCATAAACTGTTATATGGAATTGGTTAATGTCACATTTGGGTTGAACACTGTTTCCATTAGAACTACATCCCGTTCAGAACCAAAGAGAAATCTGAGAATGTCAAGATTATCATTTGTGATAGTATGATTATATTTAAAAAAAATTATGGACCATCCTTCTTTAGTACTTTCTTGGAATAATGCTTCCTTGTATGAGCCTTGCATCCAACGACATCAAATATCACGTGCAATATTAAGAAGAAAGAAATACAGACCATTCGTTTTGCTACTTTTGGTTTGGGAAAATTAAACACGTTTTACTATGAATTTTGTGCTTACAGTTTTCATTAACCATTTGTTCCATACTTTTCATGACAAGTTTCTATGTGAATGTATATTCTGATTCCAGTGATTAATGGTATCAGTATGAATATGCAATTTTACAGATGCAAAATATAATCATTTAAGAGGTACTCCATATAAAAAGTGCAGTCAAACCGCACATTTCATTTGAATTTAAATAGTGTGTTTTGGACAAAAGGAGGATCTATCTATTCGGTGCTTGATTGCTTCCCCTGCATGGTGTTAGTAAAGGGGTCCCACAAAGGGAAATCACGAAAGTGTGGCATATATTAGAAGGCCACGAAGGAATCTTTTATAATTGGGTGCATACATACTACATGAATTTCAGGTTATCAGAGTTAAGTGGTCTCTCCATGCAAGGGAGGAGATAGTCTTTGAGCTGCTCCAACATCTGAGGGGAAATGCAACAAGAAGCCTGCTGGAAGGAATAAAAAAGAGTACAAGGGAGATGATTGAAGAGCAAGAAGCTGTCCGTGATCGCTTATTCACTATTCAGGATGTCATGCAGAGCAATATTCGTGCATGGCTGCAGGTTCGTTTACCAATGTAAAAGATCATCCATACAAGTATAAGCTACATTCTCTGATATGATAACATGCATTGCTATTTGCATTTCAACTATATATCCATCTAGTTTCAAGTTTCAACACAATACAGAGCAGTTTACTTTCTACTACAACCACAACAACTCAAGGATTGAAAGATGCAAACTATTAATTCACGCCTTGAATGACCAAAATTATTAATCTAAGACTAAAAATCACAAATTCCTAATCCTTGTATTTTCATTTATTATTATTATTATTATTATTATCATTATCATAATAGTTATTATTATTATCATTATTATTACTATTATTATTATTATTATTATTATTATTATTATTACCGAGGTTAATCTAATTTTCAATTAAAATTCCTACATGGTAAAGGTATTGTGATTCTGACTAGATGCCCATTTAATAATCAACATCCCAGGATAGAAGCCTAAGAGTCACCCATAATTTAGGAGTCTTTGGTGGGTGCGGTGTTGTCCTAACGATCATAACGGGGCTTTTTGGAATCAACGTGGATGGGATTCCGGGTGCTCAGAACACGCCATATGCATTTGGTCTGTTCACAGGAATCCTTGTTCTCATCGGCATCATGCTGATCATTGTCGGGTTGTTATATCTGGGGTTGAGAAAGCCCATCAGTGAAGAGGATGTTGAGGTCAGAAAACAGGAACTGCAAAAGCTAGTCAAGACATTTCAATGGGAAGCCGAAACTCATGCCCAGGTTCGTCAACCTATTTCTCGACATAACTTGCCCCCAACTGCTGGTGATGGGTTTGTTGGAAATGCAGATTTTCTTCTAATCACCTAAATGTATAAAACCTCAATGCAGAAAAGAATTTTTACTCCTTAGTGATGAATGTACTTGGGCCATCTCCCAGTACTCTAGAAAACTCATATATTCTGCATCAGGATTTACAGTACTTGTTGACTTATTTTGTACATATGGTTTTAACACATTTACAAGTTAAAAATACTTATTTCGCATATTTATTTCTTTGCATACAATTAGAACATGTACACTATGGAATAGACGCATGCACTATGTTCATTTTGTTGCTAAAAGAATGTTTCATTTTGTTTCTAATAACACTTCTAATTCATTAAAAATAAAATAAAAAATGAATTTTTGAAAATGAAAGCACACATTTAATTATTTTTTGTGTGTACTCATTGCATGGACTTTATAAAATTAGTCTATGCACTTTCATTAGATATGTACATGGAAGTAGATAGATTCAGATGTATGGTATAATTTGTCCCCCCCCCCTCCTTATCCTATTTTTACCCCAAAATACTCCCTTAAAAGTTTCCATGAAGTTTCAAAAATGGAAAAACCTAGAGGTATCCTAAGGTGGTGTACCTCAGGTGTACACCACTTTCTCACAAACACATAGACATGAGACACCTAGGGTGTACGCCTTGGGCACCCCTAGCATATTCCGAAATGAAAAATGAAATGTGTATGAAAGTTGGAATTGACTGTTCGGCCAGTTCCGTGGGGTTCATCCTTTGGATTGGGGCATCCAACAAATGGAAAGATAAAAAGGATACATAGGGAATAATAGTCATTATTTTCATCGTACTTATCGGTTATTTATATTGTGAATCACGTTAATATTCTCTGAGTATTAGGGTAATTCTATGATAAGGTCCACTATGAATCAACATATGAGCAAAAAAAAATTTCTTATTACGTGATTTTTTTTAAATTAAAAAAATAAAAAAATGTTTTTTTATATGAGAAGGTCTACAAAAATGGTATGCACCCAAAGTACACCAAAGAAGCACTCGGTTAGGGTTAAGCTTTGACTCAAATTTAAAATAGGAAAAATTGCATTTGCTACTGTAATTATAGAGAAATAATATTTTTTTTGAACATTGATAACTCTTTTACAATGTGGTATCTGTTCATATTTTTTACGTAGTATAAAGAAAATACTTGGTAATATACCTTGGCCTCAATTTTTCATTCCATCGTCTTTAACCTTCAATAGATAAGCGTTAATTTGATTTTAGTCATTTGTCGGTTTGTTTTATGTTATAAATAATGGCGGTGAAAGACTAAAAGTAAGACTTTTATGATTAGGACACCGGAAATGCCTCAAACGAGGCATCAAACACCGCCCCCAAGGGCTTCAACACGGCGTTACCATGGCTTCGTCAAACGTTTAATGGGCGGAAGAGAAAGTGCCCCCCCTCAACGGCTATTTTACCGTTGCCCAAAAAAAGCAAATTCCCCCAATATATATTCAATATCATTTTTAAAAATAAAACTCACAAACAAGATCTCTACTCTTTTTCAAGTAAAAAAAGAATCCTTCAAAATTTCTTCTTTCTTTGTCATGAATCCCTCCAGTTCCTCGTTTTCTCCGTCCAGTCTCGAGCCAAACGAGTACACAATGTGGCTCTTCTAGAGACGTATGAGAATAATCTGTCAGTCTTCGAAACGCAAACCTCGGTGAATCTCGAGGACCTGGAGTCGGTTCCGAAGACTTAACCAGAACCAAGTGCACAAAAAAATACATGTCTGAAGAGTCACAAACCGAAGGGCGACAAGTTGATGACCGAGGCGGCACAATCCATTCAAAAGTGGACGGCAGAGAAAGAATCGTTGTTGGGTCGGCTTGGCTTGATGTCTTGGAGCATCCTATCGTTGGTAAAATTTATATGTTTTTAATATATATTGTGTATATATTCCTTATTTATATATTTGCGTTAAAATATTTTTTTTGTTGAATTATATACTCCCTCTGTCCCTGAGTATTTGTCCACTTTCATTTTTGCACACCATCTAATGCACTTCTTTAATCCATTTTATCTTGTAATTTGTATATTAAAAAATTATAAAAATTATACTCCCTCCGTCCCAGAAAGAATGCCACGTTTACTATTCTGGCCTCTCGATAACTTTTGTTTGCTTACTCGTTTTGGTTGACCATTTGATAAAATAAAATATTCTTGTCGCATCTTGTTTTGTAGAGTTTTTCATATACTTTTGAATGGTGTAATTTTTACTTTTTATTACACTACCAATTTGAAATTAAAGTGATTTTAAAAGAGATGATATTTTGCACGTCGTTCGAAGTGTTGCAAATAAATTGGGACGGAGGGAGTATATTAATAATCTATATGTTAAGACGAATCAAACAAGATCACACATGACTATTTTTAGGCTTACACATTGAGAGAATTTGATGAGTCAAAGTGCTTAGATGAACAGTTCCAAAAGTCAAAAGTGGACAACACTCAGGGACGGACCAAGTATTTCTTAAAGGTTCCAAACAAATGAAAGATTTGATGTGGGATCATATCGAGGAGAATTCTTTGCGACGATGAATAAGGGCGCCTCCTACCGAACTCGAGACCAACTCACTTCTAATTGGTGACACATTAAGCGTAAAGTCTGAAGGTTTGTCGGAGTTTACGAGGAATGCCCCAATGTGTATTAAAATTAAAACTAACGTTTTGAAGCCCCAATTTGAAGCCTCAGGCCTTCAAACCCGTTTCTAGTGAAATTGTGAGTGAAGTTAAAGTTGACATGACAAAGAGACAAATTTTGAAACCCCATGGCTTCTCGAGTAGTTCGAGTGGTCTATGGTACATGGATGACCATAACTACACCCCNTTTTGTTTAGGAAAAATAGACAAGCCCAATCTCCGAGGGCTTCCTCACTCTCGGTTAGACGGTCACTAAGTGGAAGTAAATTAAATTTTAATCGCAGATGGATGACAGAGAGTGAAGTCTGCACCTGATACTTGCAGAGATTCTATGTTTAATATAGTTATCTCTCATTGCAGTTTGCAATTTGTTTAGAAATTTGAATACTACATATAACAAAAGAAATAAAAAATATCAACTTTGATATTAAAAATGAAGATCACATTGTTATAGTGTGGTACCAAGTTATTGAGGAATAACCCAACAACTACATTCGTGAATTACTAAGAGCATGTTCTTTTCAAATAATTAATGAAAACAAGATATAACAAAGTTATGTTTTTCTTTCAAATGATTTATAAAAATACATATATAAATAAAAATTATAATGTCATTATAAATAATAATTAAATATTTTATTTTGAGAAGAAGGGAGTGTGCTTAAAAAAATCAACACTCTAAGTCTCTAACCCAACAACAAATTGGATAATTTTACATTATTCTTCCTATCTAATAGAATATATATGCCATATACGAGTACGGTGGCGTTCCGTGGCCACTCGCTTCGGTGACTGCTGCCTTTTTGAAGTACTTCTGATGTTTTATTTATAAAATTGATGATTCTTATCTCTGGTAACCCCTTTCTAAACACTCCACCCAGCTTCAACCCTTTCTTGCTCTAAATGTGTAGCTATTATGCAATGCATAATGATCACACATTTGGAGGAGAGCAAAAGTATACTGGAGTGGGGGATAAAGGTGGGACTGGGACGACGGGGAGTTTAGGAGGGGGTTACGAAAGATAGGAATCAATAATTTTTCAAATAGAGCATTGAAAATCCTCCAAAAAGGCTGTGACTGCGGCAAGGGCACGGAACCGTCCCGATACGAGTAACTCTTAACCAGAACTTAAGTAATTCAATATCCAAACATGTATTTAAAGATATAAAAATTAAAGTATATTTTACAACACACATGCGTTACAGTAATATATACAAGCCCTTTTTTCTTCCATATCCATTCCACAAACAAAATCATTTCTACTTATCTTCTTTCTTGGAAATATTGGAGGGATACTAATGCTTCGAAGTAGCGTTAGAGATTTGGTATATGAAGAACGTCAAGAACGACTTCATAACATAAGAAATTGCGTGTATACATTTTCATATTAAAGGTATTTTGGAATATATCAAAATACTTGACGTAAATAATCTAGAACGAGTATGGAAGTTCTTGTTGTCTCGAAGCATACCCTGAAGCCATATTTATAGGCAAAGTTTCAACACACGTGTTGGTTGATGAAACAACACAAATTTCGGGTAACATTAGAATGTTTGAGTGTAGATATTCAAATGTTTATGGGCATATTATAGTGAATGGTTATTTTTGGAGTTACGTGCGAACCATTGCAACTTATATCGCTAGCCATTCGAATGTATCGAGTCCGTTTACAAAAGGTGTTGTGGATAAACATTACATTCCAATATAATGTATTCGAACCCTCCATCCCTGAGTATTTATCCACTTTTAGTTTTTCGATTAAAATTGGTAAACTTTGATATTAAATTAAATAAAAATGATATTAGATAATGATACGAAAATAGTTTTATTAGATTTAGTATATAAAATACTTTTAAAATATTATTTTATCTACTTAACATATACCTCCTTCGCCCCAAAAAGATGTTCACATTTTAACTTTTAGGAAATTTAATGGAGATATATTGTGTTGACTTTCTAAAAATAACTTTGATGTGATGGGTAAAAGTAGGATATGATATGTAGATTATTAGTAAAAAGATATGATGTGATAGGTAAGTTTAGAATTAGTAGGGATAAAAGTAGTTTTTCAATAGAAATGAGAAGGATTTTGTGGGACAAGTAAAAAAGAAAGGAGAATGAGTTTTTGGGACAGAGTGAATAATATATATTTCATTTAATTATAGATCAAAGGTTAAAAACAATTGATTGAAAAAGTCAAAACTAGATAGATACTCTCAGATGGAGGTAGTATTGTTTTATACATTCGAATGTATATTATTTCAAACTCCACCTCGGCAGGGGCTCTACCCCTTGACCCCACTACCGGTGGTCGTCGCCCCAAGACCCTGCTATAGAATTTGAAATATCGTTGAGCAATCGTGCATTTCGCACCTCCGAACTCGTTAAGAATGTCTATTAAAATTACTATTCGTTCTAAGTAAATCTAATTACATTAAAAATAAACACTAAAATCACCTGAAACAAAAAAAATGTGGAATCTATGAGATTTTTCAAATATATTATAGTTGCCATCAAGAAGTTGAAAACTCACCTCAACAAATATTGGACCGGCAAGCTTCAATTCCTGAGTTGTCGAATGTCATCCCCAGATGGCCATTTAATAAGAAAAACTTTCGTTGATATAAATACGATATGGGAGACACGCATAAGAGCTCAATGGAGAAGCCAAATACTAAAATATACAGTAGAAAGGTTTACATGTTCCCATACTAAAATTTACTCCATAATCTCCAATTGATGTGCTATTTTCATAAGCTAATAAGCTAAATTAACATTTTTTTAAAGAATCTATTTACACATGTCCATTTTGTAAATGCTATAAATATGAATAAATAAAATATCATAAAAAATGTTGACCACGTTAAAATAATACTCCCTCCGTCCCTTTAAACATGGGATGTTTTGATTTTTAAGGGGAGTGTATTTTGGTATTGAATTTCTAAAAATGTCCTTTGATTTGATGGTAAAAGTAGGATTTGATGAGTAGATTATTAGTAAAAAGGTATGATGTGATAGGTGGGGTATGAAAAAGTAAGGGGTAAAAGTGACTTTTTAATAGAAATAAGAAGTTTTTTTTGGAACAGATGAAAAAAAGAAAGGAGAAAGGTTTTCAGGGACGGAGGGAGTACTATATTCTATTTGTTTTCATATTCTGAAATTATAAAATTAATAAAAAAAAGATTTTTTTATTTAAAAATAACAAAAGTATATAATATAAATGATTTGATTGGAGTTGATATTAAAAAATTGATAGTTAAAACACTATTGGGAAGCAAAAATAACATTTAGCTTCTCAAATGATATGATGGCTTCTCTCTTGGAGATGCTCTAACAACTCATTCTCCTTCTATCCCCCCTTCATATTATCACTTTTCAATGTCAAATCATTTTCTTCTTTCACTTTTCTCATTTCACTCTAATCATTCTTCTCCATATTTGTTATATGAGGGTCCCTTGAGATTTTACTTTAACAAATCTATATTATTTAATTTCTTCCTAATTTATTTTGTCAATTTCTTTTTTTAACATACCCCGGGGTATTTTATTTCTAATGGCCTTTTATATTTTAAAATAGAAGTATATACACATAAGATAATTTATTTTATATAATCTAATTTTTCTTAAAATTTATAGACAAATTCAAGAGTAGTGTTTCAATTATTTAAGTCTAAAATAATACGTTGAACAAAAAAATCACCTCAAAATGAAATAGAAAAAAATATCCATATTACCTCTTGAAAAAGGCAAATTGTTACGTGATCCTTATAGGAACAGATATTGATATGAACTCTGATGGATATTATTAATCACAAATTAAACCACACTTAAATAGTGCGTGGGAGAGTTAGGGGCTGTTTGTTTCAACCTCTTAATGGTTCAGATGTCTGAATGGTTCAGCACTTAATGGTTCAGACTGTTTGTTTCAGCCTCTTAATGGTTCAGATGTCTGAATGGTTAAGAGATTTGCCTCTGAATGGTTAAGTATTATACAGAGTCTGAATGGTTAAGACCTCTTATCTGAATTGATCAGACATTTGCCTATGAATAGTTAAGCAATATACTAGCTTTTAATGGTTCAGACCTCTTATTGGTTTAGCACTTAATGATTCAGACCTCTTGCTGGTTCATCACTTACCTATTCAGAAGTTGCCAAACAACCCCTTACACTTTGAATATATATAACTCTAGAAGATAACAGTGGAACTAATAAAAAGCTGTCCATATAATGTTTTTTGAAGTTCTGATATTTGAGTCCATTTTCCTTTCTTTTACAAATGGATTGTCTCGAAACAAGTGTATATGATTTGAAAACATATATATAGTCTAAAGCTCTAAGCTCATTCGCTCTGCATCCAGTTCCGAAAACACATGGCCGTCTCCTCCCCATACCCCTTCTACTTTGCTTCCATAAGTCATTTTCTTCCTTTCCAAACGGACCCTAGAAGAAAATGTGAAACCAATCATCAATACTTGCTTATTTTACTCCAAAGATGAAATCAATGGTTCAGCATATGTAGTAGGCGTGCATATATAATGACTCCGTAGTCCGTATGCGTTTGTTTAATCAAAATGGAAAGAAATCATGCGTAGAGAGCATTGTAAAAATACGACAAGTGTCGCAAGGCATTTAATTTATACTCTGAGTAAAAATTAAAAACGAAAATAATCTTACCACAGAACCGATCATCATCATCATCATCATCATATTGTTAGCAGCCGTGTGTGTGGTGGAAATTTGGATTTGAGATTGCTGGCGCGCTCCTTTGCTGTTGGTGATTTTAGTGTCATCAATTTATTTTGTGTAATTGAATTTACTTTGATCGGACAAGAATTTAAATAGACGTTGTCAAACGAGTTAGGAGGTGTGGAGTGCGCGCTCGTTCAACAATATTATAAATTCACTGCGGGGGTCCGGGGGCAGCAGCCCCCGGGATAGCGAGGTCCAAGGGGCAACAGCCCCTGGCGGGGTCCAAGATTTTCGTGATCGGAGTCCAAAACGGTAAAGGACTCTTACATAATGGATAAACGTCGAAATTAAGCCTTCAACCGCAGGAGACCTTTGGTTCAAACTCGCACCTTTCTTCTTCTTGCGCGAACGTACGCGTACATCTACGCGAACGTTCATGTCCGATCACAAGGATTTTCGACTCTATAAAATAGAGTCTCGTGGTATGGGTTGAGTAACAGATTCTCGAGTGCTTGTTTTGAATTAACGTTTTATCCGATTGAAGTATTTCGTATACCCCGAAATAACTTTGATCTGAAAGCGTTTCGTACGCGATTCGTTATTCTATCTAGTTCTTCGTTCAACACTGCTTCACAGTGTTCTTCCTTTTATAATTCTAACATTTGCTTCATCCCTCGTAGTGGCCAACTTCATTTTCTTAAGATATCTCAATTCATGGACATTCTCAAAATATGTCCATTGTGTGTCGATGATCACCGTCTCAACTGATGGAGCCATCTCCAGCAATTTCAAAAGGAACTCGTCTTCGCTTGACGACCCACAATAAGATCCCATTCGAACCGACCTAAGATTCGCATGATTGAATGTACCCACCTCTGCTTCACTCACTTCAGGATATGGTATCTCCTGAAGTGATATAACTCGTTAAACGGGTGGAGATGAATCAAGATTCGTAATAGAAAGATATGAGAATAGAATTGGATACCTGATAGTCATCCCATTCATAATCCATCTGTGACAACATGAGACAGTGAAGTTTAGCTCAACATTGAAGCGCTTTTTTTTTGTATCCAACAATGGTATATTCCCAGCAAACACATAAACGCCATTATGGCACTGCTTAATTTTAAATAAATACTACTAGTAGTAATCTTCTACTAGTGTAAGCAAATGACACCGTAGGTTCCGGGAATGAACTAGTGTAAGTAAATGACATCAGTAGCAATGGTGTCATTTTAGACTTGCTCATACTTTGTGTGTGCATATATGTTTGTGTGTGGGCGAGAAAGGGAGGGGGGAGGCAAAGATCATTTACCGTGATTGTGAATTCACGTAAGCGAGGAGAGGCCTTGATCAATAAAGTGAAGAAGAGAAGACTTCGCCCAGCTAGTGTAGTGCTGTTCACAGTCAGCTTCTCCAGTGAACATAACTGAGGCAAATCTGGGGGAATGGCTATTTGAAAGGGCAGTGTAATGGGCTGTAGAAAACATATTTGTTAAAAAGCAAGTTAAAGATCTGCCGTAGTAAGTTAATTGACTGAACCACACACACACAGACACACAACATGCGCGCACACACACACACACATATATAGATATGTCTTCAATGCCAACCAACCGTGAGAAGAAGACCCAGGTTCAGCTCTGTCAACTGAACCGAATAACTTGAGTGTTTCTTAGCTTGATAAATAAAGGGGAACGAAGCTCCACCCCACAGATGTAGTGCAGTGAGATTCGCAACTCTTTTCAACAAATAAGGTGTTTCTACATTATGTCCCGAATATGCAAATGATACAAGGCTCGGTGCGGAGATCTCAACCCTTTGGATCTGCCCGCACCATAGTTGCAATTGTTTCAACTTTGGTGCAACAACTCAGAGATTCTTCGTACAATCTGAGTCCTTGATCCACAAGGTCTCAAGATCCGGACAAGATGCCAATAAATAATGAACCATGTCATCCTCAACATTTACATGCGCCAACTTGAGGGATCTTAGGCTAACAAATGAACACTTGGGCCCCAATAATAACAGCTTCTCCATGCTAGGAAACTCGTATTTACAACTACGCCTGTGCCTTTCCAAACTCAATTCAAACACTTTTACTTGCTTTCGCAGGGCAAACCGTGTCCACATATCGGCATCACCATCTTCAAACCCCCAACGCCCCCGAGTACACACGATAAAGCTATCCACTCTAGGAGCCTTGTGCAATTCCCACACACGATTGACCCAACCTCCCATTTCTTTCCTCTTATCCATCCCTCTGAAAGTGTCCCTATCACAAGCATCAAATTTCAAACTCCCGGATACAAGTGTCCACATATATCTCCATCTACGCGAGAGAGCACTAGTCCTACCAGCATCCTTGAGTTTTAGGCGGGATATTATATCAACAAGCAGCTCATCAGGCAAGTCACTAATCCTTGGTGTGCTCTTATTCTGGGTGTTAGTGACAAGTTTCTGCATCATTGTACAGAATATGTAAATACAAAAATCTTAGAAAGGAAGGAGCGAAGAAAATTGATGCACTACTCCGTTATAAGGTATGGAATTTTCCCTTACATTGTCCTCTCGCTTTCGTTTTCTTCCGTTCTGACAAACTGGAAGTGCCCAATCACCACGAGTCCCATCCATCAGACCGTCTAATCCTGAAAGGATGAAAAACATTGCGAGTTTAGCTCGATGTCAACAACAACTACAACAAAGATTGCAACTCTCGTCGTTCACTCAATCAAGTTTACATCCTCAACTTGAATAGATAAGTTGCATACTTATATTTATGTTCCAAGGGTGAAGAATTATGAATTTCCTTAAACAATAATGTGGGAGTACATGTGTTTATATACACAAGCTATTCCTAATCCTAATCATGGTAGGATTCTATAATAGGAAACAATATACATACAATAAATATAGAATATATATTTAACATAAATATAGAATATATTTAACATGCTCCCAGCTACGTCGGCATCGATGGTGGGCGAATCCCGAGGCTTGTCCGGAAATCCTGAAATAATATGGACGGGAGGCCCTTTGTGAATATATCTGCGTCATGGTTGTCAAGTCGTCGCCTAGGCGTCGACTAGTCGGCGACTAGTCGTCCG